CCTCTTAGTAGTTTTTTTCGTCTGTTCTACTCATATGACTGGTTTAATTCTGTAATAATACACAGTTATTCTTAAGTGTTAAAAATTAACTGAAATGTGATCCCTGTTAAACATAAGAGTGGGAATAAGAGAGGGAAGAGATGTATAATTTGGGACATGCTCAAGCTGACTTGCCCCAAATGGTAGAGTTAAAAACATACCAGGGGATTCCAATTCAATCCCATCAAGGTGGCATGTACCAATGCCATCTCACTAGTCCCAGTGATCAATTTCAGTTCACAATTGATCATAATGAAAGGACTAAGAGTCAAAGGGAGTACATAAACAAGTCTAGTACCTGCTAACACTAACCGATGGAATAAATAAAGGGGAGAGTGATCCAACATGGGAAGTGAGATACTCAGCAGACTCATAGAATGGCAGATGTCCTAAATAGCACTCTGGCCTCAGAATCGGCCCTAAAGGCATTCGGATCTGGCTGAAAAGCCCATGAGAGTATTTCAGGCATGGAAAGCCAAGACACTCTGGCAAAAGATCTCTGCGAGGGAGATCCCAGTGGAAAGAACAGGTCTTCAAAGAAGGAGGTACCTTTCTCTGAAGGGAGGAGAGAACCTCCACTTTGACTATGACCTTGTCTAAACAAGATAAGAATCGGAGAACTCAGAGGGCTTCCATAGCCTTGGAAACTCATGACCGGAGCATAGGGAGACTACTGATGCCATAGACAGGAGTGTCAATTGGTAAAGTCAACAACAGGAGTCACTGTGCACTTACTCCTCATGTAGGATCTCTGTCATTAATGTGCTGTGTATTGAGATTTAATGCTATAACTGTTGCTCCCCGTCTTCGTGGAGGAACGACACAGGACCCTGCGCTGTTCTTTCGTCTGCTCGGCCCTTCCCGGGTTTGCTGCTGGTTCTTCCCGGGTTGGCTGCCATCCCTTCCACCTCCGTGGAAGGGCGGTTCCCCCTGCCACATTCCCCACTTCCACGGGGGAGCGGCACAGGACCGGCCGGCTCTCTTGGGGGCTGCTCAGATGTTCCTCAGGTGTTCCCCCTAGATGTTCCTGGTGCATGTTGTCTCTCTCCTCCTTTATAGTCCTCTTCCGCCAATCCCAACTCTGCTACCCACACGCCGAGTACACT